AAGCTGAAGGCCCTTTTTACGATCTTCGAACCCGGGATCCGAACTTGGGGGCTCCTTTGGGAACCGTCATGGGCTCCTTGAAGCCCAGGGCTCCTCCACTTCAGTGTTCAGGGCTCCTTTAGGGATCCTTTNNCTGCCTTCCCTGAACCCTAAACCCTAAACCCTCCTTGAAGGGGCTCGGGGAGGTTATAGGGAGGCCGCGTATACAGGTTTACACCTAGTTTGCTTCAGGGTTTAGGGTTTAGGGTTTAGTGCTATGGCATGGTATCGTACTTACATACATACGTTTACAACTGTTTAAGAGGTTATTACTTTCCTTGTTTACGTATTTAGTCATTCTCGAATCTTAACCATTCATGTGTCTATTCCATGCAATTCCTTTCCATTCCGTTCCAAGCCAGCCCAAACCACGCAGTCAATCGTTCATTCGTTCTTGAATTCATGCAGTCGTTCATGCATTCATTCGTGTGCGCACGCATGCATGCCTTCATTTCATTTCATCTCATTTCGTTTATTCGCTTATTCATGCGCTCATTTATTCCTTCATTCATTCCTTCCTTACTTCCTTCCTTCCTTCATTCCTTCATTCCTTCATTCCTTCCTTCCTTCCTTCCTTCATTCATTCATTCATTGAATTCACTATTTCATTTCATGCATTCATTCATTCACTCCTGCGTTCGTTCGTTCGTTGGTTCATTCATTCAGTCAGTCAGTCAGTCAGTCAGTCAGTCAGTCAGTCCTTGAGTCACTCAATCATTCAATTCATTAATTTCCTTAATTGCATTCATGTCCTTCATTTCATTCAGTTCATTCCTTTCGTTTTGTTGTTGCATTCATTCATTCGTTCATTTGTTCATACATTCACTCACACATTAATTCATTCATCCATTTCTTTCAAGTCCGTCACAGATGAATTCATTCATCCATTTCTTTCAAGTCTGTTAACCCACTCCTTCTTTCCATGTCATGGAGTCCCTTATTCATTACTTCTTTCGGCCGGTCATTCGTTCTTTGTTCATTCTGTTTCATTCCTTATTTGTTTCATTCATTCACTTACTCATTCATTCATTCGTTCGTTCATTCATTCAGTGAGTCAGTCAGGCATTCAGCCATTCAGCCATTCAGCCATTCGTTGAGTCATTCGTTCCATTCAGATATTCAGTCACGCATGTCCTGTTATCACTGCAGAATCTGTGCATACACCCCACCTACTTGCTCATGCAAGCAATGGCCTAAGGACAACCCAAGGGATCAGAAACTCGCAGACATCCGGAGAGTTGAGTTCGGTGCTGGCTACCGAGCTGCGGCAAGGACTCCTGGGAAGGTGGAGGAGGGCGAAAAGTGAATAGGATGCTGGTGCATATTATGGTAAGTAAATGGTATCTTATGGCATATTTTCGTAGATTCTGGCTTTGTTTGTGGTATACCTACCATGGGGGCTCTCCTGGGATACTCTTAAAAAGTGAATTAGTCCTCAACCCTCATCCGACTCAGCGGAGATAGTTTGGCTTTGACATTTGGGGGGCTTCCGGGGTTTTGGGTTCCGGGTTTGGGGCTTAGAGGTTGGGGGTTTAGGGCTTGGGGTTTGGGGGTTTAGCGGTTTACGGGTTTAGGGTTTAGGGTTAAGGGGTTTAGGGTTGAGGGGTTTAGGGTTCAGGGTTTGGGGTTTAGGGGTTTAGGGGTTTAGGGTCTGGCGTTTGATGCTGCTTCGGCTCAGGTGATTCGGCTGTCAGTGCCTAAACCAAGCGTTAAGCCCTCAATCCTAAACTTAAACCGAGCCTCAATCCTCAACCCTCAACCCTCATATCCAAACCCTCATCCGCAAACAGCTTGGGGCTTCGATGTGCCTGCGCCCGTCAAGACTTTCGCGACAAGTCGCGAGACTCAGACCCTGCAGGTTTAAGGCAACCAACCCTAAAGCCCTGACCGCTGTAGACCCTTAAGATCCCTAAACCCTAAACCCGAAACCCTAAACCCTAAACCCTAAACCCTAAACCCTACACCCTAAACCCTAAGACCCTGAAGGCCCTGAACCCTAGCACGAAGAGCTGGGTCTCCTCCTTCCGCGTCTGCTGGGGGCCTAGCGGGTACCTCGGAAACGGAAAAACTTCGAAGGGTTTCGGGTTTCGGGTTTGGGGTGTATATAGGGTTGAGGGTTGAGGGATGTCGAGGCGATCTTTCTCACACCCCGGCGAAGGGCGAGGAAGCGTCCAGGGCTTGGAACTGATCTTCGGGGCCCTGCTCCCCCGGCGCCGGGAGCTCCCGAACCCATCGCGCCAGGGGCACCCAGCTGGTGCCCACGCGCACCGTGAGGACGGAGTCCGAGAGCTGCATTCTCACCCGGTCCTCCCCCAGCTTGTAGATCTTGGGCCCGGTCCTCTTTAGAACGTGGCCTTGCAGACACCCGGGGCCCAAAGACCGGATCTCCGCCTCTAAGGCCTGGTCGAGCTCGTCCGCTGCTGTCGCAACATAGTCGGAGCCTTCAGGCACAGAGACCGTCTGAGGCGCCGGAGCCTTCAGCTCCTCCAGCTGCATCTGCAAGTCTTCCAGGCGCTTCTCCAGCACAAGCTCCCGAGCCCGAGCTTCTGCTGCAGCCTCCTCGCCGGCCTCCTGCAAGGCTCTCTGCGCCTTCTGCGCCTGCTCCCGTTGCTCCTCGGCGCGGCAGAGCGCCTCCGTGGATGCTGCGGCTGCACGGAGCTCCGTCTGGAGCTGCGCCTCGGCCGCCTGGAGCCGCACCTCCGCCTTCGAGGTCTCGGCTTCCGCCCGGGCCTCCACCACGCGCTCCGCCTTGGCTGCGTCCTGCGCCCACTCTTCCTGCACCTTCACCCGGCTCCAAACCTCCTGCAGCTGCGCCTCCTCCGTGCAAAGCCGAAGCTGCAAGGCCTGAGCCTGGGCTTTCGCCTTCTCCAGGGCATCCTCGGAGCCTTCCAGGGCGAAGATCTCCAGCTCCCGACCCGCCAGGCGAGCGCTCAGCTCCTGCAGCAGCCGGAGCTTCGAGGTCTCCGAACTCCGCGACTGAGCCCGCAGCTCCGTGGCCAAAAACCGCTCCGTCTCCACGGAGGCTGCAAGGTCCCGCATCTCCCACTCCCGTGCCCGCTCCGCCTGCTGCCTTTGGAGGCTCTGGGAAGAGTTCTCCATCTGCTGCCAGGTCTCCTGCTCACTGAGGAGGTTGGCCTCGTATCTCAGCTGAAGAACCTCAGCCTGATGTTGAAGATCGCAGGAATGCTTCTGCTGCTGCCAGGCCTGCCACTCCTGAGACATTTGCAGGTCCTTCTTCTGGATTGCCATCTCCACTTCCAGTTCCTTGCACCTGCTCTGCCTCCGGAGGAGCTCCTCCTGCTCCTGAGCCAACCTCTCTTGAGCCAGAAGGATCTTCTGGGCATGCTCCGACTTTTCCTCGTCTTTGCCTTGAACCAGAGCCTTCAGATCCTTCAGCTCCATCAGCATCTCTTCCCGGTCAGGATCTTCTCGCAAGGCTTCCGGCGGATTTTGCACCTGGTAGAAGCAGGGGCCTCTCTCCGAAGCCATCATGTGCTCCTGGATGGGACTCGGCTGTGCCAGAGTCACCGGCTCCAGTGGGACCGTGCCTCCAAAACATCCGGGGCCTGGCAAGGATGGAGGGCACGGCTCAGCCAGGCATCGTTGCTTCAGCTCCTCCAGTCTCCGAGGGAACTCGGAACCCAACTGCCGTGCAGGCGCGGGCCAGGGCGCCAGCTCCCACCAGGCACCTTTGGAAAGAGAGGAGCAAGCGGAAATCAAGTACACGGGCGAGGCTACTCAGCAAGTCATGATGATGATGGTGATGATGGTGATGACGGTGATGATGGTGATGGTGATGATGGTGATGGTGATGATGGTGATGGTGGTGATGATGGTGATGGTGATGATGGTGATGGTGGTGATGATGATGACGATGATGGTGGTGGTGATGGCGGTGGCGGTGGCGGTGGCGGTGGAGGTGGCGGTAGCGGGGACGGCGGTGGCGGTGGCGGTGGTGGCGGTACTGATGTTGATGGTGACTATGGCGGTCAAGATGACGGCGCAGGGTACGATGATTGTGATGAAAGAAGCTGGTGATGGTCATGATGACTTTAGTAATTATCAAGATAGTGATGGCGGCAATGATGGAAAGTGACACCTGTGCGAGTGTGATGGTGCTGGTGCTGGTGCTGGTGCTGGTGCTGGTGCTGGTGCTGGTGCTGGTGCTGGTGCTGGTGCTGGTGCTGATGCTGATGCTGATGCCAGTGCTTGCGCTGCGAACGGAATATGTTTGTCCATAGTGACAGTTCTGTAAAGTCACAGGAGCAGTGCCAGTACCAGGAACAGCCAGAAGCAGCAGCAGCAGCAGCAGCAGCAGCAGCAGCAGCAGCAACCCCAGCACGAGTAGTCGGTCGAGTAGTACTCGTCATCGTCGTAGTCGTCGTCGTAGCCATCGTCGTCGTCCTCTTCCTCCTCCTCCTCCTCCTCCTCCTCCTCTTCCTATCCGTTTTCCTGCCGCACTTCAAGGCATGAAGCCGTAACCCTGAACTCTTAAGACTCTAAACAACCTCAAACCGCAAATTCCGAAAGCCGTAAGCCTTCTCTCTACTTCAAAAAAGCCTAGACCCTGCTCCAGGGGCCTTGATAATTAGAATAAGGTTTTGGGGCCCATTCTACTATAATTATCATAAGGAACCCCCAAGACCCTGTTCTAATTCTTAAGGCCCCTACAATCCAAACCCTCAACCCTAAACCCTAAACCCTCACCCTCTAAAGCAAACGTTAAATCCAAAGCACTGGGCCCTCCACCGCCCCTCGCATTCCCCCGGGACAGTCCCGTCCGAATCGACTGCACAAGCAACACCTCGGGTTAAGGGTTTAGGGTTTAGGGTTCGGAGACTGGGCTTCAGGTTTTTGGGTTTAGGGTTTAGGGTTTAGGCCTGGGGATTTTAAGATCTAGTTGCTGAGTTACTTGGCTCAACAAGACTAACCCTTTCGACAACGTATGAGGTACATGTACATATATATATATATATATACATATATATATATATATATATATATTCATGTATATGTGTATATATATATATACATATTCATGTATATATATATATATATATATGTTCAGGTAAACCTCAAGAAGTGAAAGGATACCTACCCACTAGCGCATGTAGGGCTTAGAGATTTAGGACGCATGGCTTAGAGCTTTTGGGAGTTTGGTGCTTGCGGCTGGGGCATTCGGGCTTTCTCGGGCTTTGTCAGGCTGTCGGGGGCTTGTCTCTAGGGTTTGGGTTTAGGGGTAAGCCCTAAACCCCTAAACCTTATAACCTAAACCCAAACATCTAAAAGCCGTAAAACCTAAACCCAAACACCTATGTCAGACCTCTCCTACCATATCTCAAGCACAGCTTTTCAAGCCCGACAGACCTGCCAGCAACCTCGAAACGCCGAAGACACCCAAGGAAGGACGGAACAGCCTTCAACCCTAAACCCCCTAAACCCAAACCCCCTAAACCCCTAAACCCCTGAACCCGAAGCTCCTAAACCCTGAAACCCTAAAACCCCAAACCCCTGAACCCTGACAGACTACCCCAAAGACGAAGAAAGGCACACACCCTAAACCCTAAACCC